GGCCTCTCTCATCTTTTTAAGTGGGAGGACTTGCACAATTGGTGACTGACTAAATACTTATTTTCCACCATTATTTGCAAAAAAAATTCTTTAAAAGTCAGACAAAATGATTTTCTCAAATTTTTTTTCACATTTTGTCTCTCAGGTCTACCTATGATGTCAATTACAGGCCTCTCTCATCTTTTTAAGTGGGAGAACTTGCACAATTGGTGACTGACTAAATACTTATTTTCCCCACTGTATGTATGTAAATGTTTTCTGAACTGCAAGAGATGAATTTTTTGTGAATTAAGTCTGTATAAAGAAACTATATTGAAATACATAAATATTTGTCCTAAAATTAGCCCGTGTGAGCCAACTTGTGAATCCCTGACCTGATCAGAAATTTAGAGTTTGACTTTGAGTTACACTGAACTACATCACTGCTAATCTCTGCAGGTCATTCTGATAATGGAGCATTTTGGCGGTCTCTGTATGAAACACCCACCTTTGAGGAAGACCTGGAGACTCTGTGGAAGGAGCTGGAGCCACTCTATCTGAATGTACATGCATATGTTCGAAGGGCACTGTACAAAAAGTATGGCTCCAACTACATCAATTTAAAGGGGCCCATTCCTGCTCACCTGCTTGGTAAGTTTGAGCTTTTTGAGCAAAAATTAAGCTTTTATGCTGCTTTGTTTAGATTATTCCAAGCTTATCGAAAGAATTCCAGATCAGGTAGTGTTATAGCCAACGACAGAGGATGACTTTGTTCTCTGACCTGATTGACTCAAATATGAATTATTCATGTTGTTCTGTCCTTTCAGGCAACATGTGGGCTCAGACCTGGTCTGGAATAATGGATCTAGTGATGCCCTTCCCAGATGCCACACAGGTTGATGCTACACCAGCCATGTTGGCTCAGGTGAATGAATGCATAAAACATCTGTAGCATCATGAAGTCATTGCAGCACACGTTAAAAACAAAAGGGAATGCACACTGTTCTTCTTCTTCTGATGATGATAATAATGATGTTAATAATAATGATAACTTTATTCATAAAGCACTTTCAGACAAAGTGCTGAACAGTTACAAAAAGATAAAATCAACATAAAAAGGTTGCAAGAACACTAAAACATTGAAAAAGGATAAAATACAAATGTAAAATCTAAGACACATGACAAAGCGTACAGGTGGGTCTTTAGCTTAACTTTAATAATAATAATAATAATAATAATAATAATAATAATAATAATGCATTTTATTTATAAAGCGCCTTTGAGGACACCCAAGGTCACTGTACAATAGAAAAGAAACAACTGTAAATACATAGTGATAGGATAGTGCGGGAGAAACATAGAAATGTGGAGTACATAACAGTCATGTAAAGAAATACAAAAAGTAGATAAGTTGAACAATAGGATTGTGGGGGAGAAAGAGAAATGAGAACTACAAAACAGTCATATATTGAGGTACAATCAGAGTTAACAGTAGGCTAATCTGAAAAGATGTGTCTTCAGGCCAGTCTTAAACAGGGAGAGAGAGGTTGTATTGCGTAATCCATGGGATAGTGAGTTCCAGAGCTGCGGAGCAGAGCGGCTGAAAGCTCTGCTCCATTTATGGTGCTGAGGTGGGGGTATTGAGAGTTGGAGGGAGGAGGCAGATCTTAGAGAGCAGGAGGGTGTGGAGATGTTTAGGAGGTCAGATAGGTAAGGAGGTGAAAGATTGCCGGGGGTGGGGGTGGGGGGTGGGGTGTAAAACTCTAAGTTCCTGCATGTCATTTTCAGCAATTATGCTTAAACGTACATTGTAAATTTTGGAATCAGGTCAAAGTTAACTAAGGACAACAAAGAGTTGCATCTGTGTACTTAACTAGTTAATTTCTATTCAATCAGAGCAAATGATGTCATTTTATTGGGGGTAGGGGGGGTCATATTCACTGGATCAAATTATTATGGGGGGTCATAGACCCCCTAAACCCCATGCAAATTGCACATGATCAGCCGCAGAGAAAGACAGGAGGTGGGGCGGAGATAACAGCACCTGCAGCGCATAAAAGCAAGTAAGGGAGGACAGGAAGAGATGAAGAACTTATTTCTAGCAGCAGAGTGGCTTGGGAGATGATTATTTAGTTATATTAGTATTTTTTTATTTTTTACATCCTACAGGCTCAGAGTTGTAAATTAAATTTGTAGCTGAATTTTTGAAAAAAATCTGTGAGGTTACCCTATACATCTGTATACCTGTAAAATGGGGGGAAATCCATGCAATTTACAGACAACTTAACATGTATGGGACATCTAAAACTCTCAGATTATATGTTCCTGTGACATACAGAGGGAAAATGATGGGAYGGGTGGCTGGAATGCTTTCACTTTGCCTCGCATCTGTCACATTTATTAATACAATCACATCTACCAGATTCAAGCGGCCAAAATGAGCACCCTTCATAGGGTGGCCAGGCTCAGCTTTAGAGCTAGGGTGAAGAGCTCTGTCATCTGGGGGTAGCTTGGAGTAGAGCTGCTGCTCCTCCGCATCGAAAGGAGTCAGTTGAAGTAGTTCGAGCATCTGTTTTGGATGCTTCCTGGATGCCTCCTTTTAGAGGTTCTGTTATAGGACACTTCTGTTCAATATATTGGAAGTTGGAATAAGTTTGCAGAAAACCAGTTGATCTCTTCTAAAAGGCTTTATTCATAATATGATTCCATGAGGCCCACCGTCAGCCAGCAGCAGCTCTGTGAATCAAAAAGGCCTTGGCCTTATCAGAACAGAAAAACAAGCCCCCTCAGGAGCTCAGCATCTGTCCCAGGCTGATCTAAGAGCAAGACTACCTCATGATTCATGATGAATCAACCTCTTAAAGTAACGTGTACATCTGACTTCCTGGTCACACTCCTGGAGGCGGTACCTTTTACATCAGACATTAGAACATAACCAGCTTTGTTTATATTATATGATTTCAAAATACATTGAGTAAGCTACTGTACAGCACTTTGGTTGGCCTTGTGCTGTTTAAAGTGCTTTATAAATAAAAGTGGTATGGTAAGCTATTGTGTTTGAGGTTCAAATTCATATGTTTCATGGGTTATTTTAATTTGTTATGAGAATGTTACTTTATATGTAGGGTAGAGACACTGGATAAGAGGGTGACATTCACAGGAATGACGAGCAGGTGAGATGACGTGCACTGGAGCTGGAACACGAGGTGCACCCACAGGAATCATTGTTGAACGTTGTGAAAGAAATAATTGTTGACTAGATCGACTGATTAAAAAAGTAATGGCAAATTAGTTGACTTTTAACATAGTCATTATTCTAATCTCAAATTCATAACATTTAGTCAGAATGCATTTAACCCAACAACATCATTTACATTTAATCTTCAATGCCTTTTATGTTCCACAGTTTCACTCTTTCAGCAAAAGTACAGATATGCCCACAGCTGGACCGCTTCTAACGTTTTGTTTTACGTAACTTAAAGCTATGAACTAATCTGGGTGAGGCCCACGTTCTACGGCAGGGCTAGCTGTTATGTTAGCAACATTAGCATCTCTATTTGATCAAAAATGAACTTATTAAACACTCATTTTGAACACAGCACATTCACAAATTCACAATGTCATGACATCAGATGAAATAACTTTTTTCACAAGGGAGCTTAAAACAAAGTTCTAATAAAACTTAAAATGGCAGCCACAGCCTCAGCCTCAACGGAGATCACTCGATTCCATAAACCTTACAAAATACACCATTTAACAAGTTTGCATATCCACAATTAACAGTGCTTATTATTTTACGCAGATTTAAGTTACTAACCTGTGTATGGAGGTAAATTTGTGTTTTTATTATTCAATCAAACAAAAAGCATCTTCAATCAAAAAAAATAATTTCAATCAAAAAAATTTTTTTCAAC